ATTCCTATTATAGTTTCTTCTGCATTTACTACCAGACTGGCATAGAATACTTTACTGAAATCCATATCATTTTTACTTTTTTGGCTTTGCCAGCAATATGAAGTTTGACAGGAAAAATGTTCTTCTTTTTACTATGAAACTTTATTCCCCAAATAGAATTATGTATATTTACTTCTAAATTGTAAGAAGGCAATATCTCCTTTAGGAATTTCACAATATACCACTCCAAGGTCTACGAATGTAACATTAAAAGGCTGGGGAAAATATTTAATTGCTAATTCATAATCTAGCAGATTCATCAGATTGATTCAAATGTGAAAAAAACCTGCAATGCTTATGTCATCTGTTAAAAGGTCTTTCATATGACTGAAGTTAAACCTAAACTGGGTTTTTAATTACCTATATGTAATAATCTGCATTTTGTTAAACAGTATCTCCACAACACTGAAGTGTTTCGTGCCTTAATAATCTCACATTTGAATTATTTTAATCCACTATATATAAGGCTATCATTATAAGCGGCATACAAGCTTTAACCAGTGCAGGATGTGATTGCTAGACTGTTAAACTGGAAACTAAACAGGACTACACAGCACTATTCCTAAAAATACTATAGTACAAGTTCACTGTAAGCATTGACAATCAATTACCTCTTAAATGATTTAGTATTTATGAATGTAAAGTAAAATCAACTAGGCTGGACTTGTTCGTAATCTCACACGGTTCAACATTTACCGCAGTTAAAACATTTTAAAACATGGCTTCCGGTTTGCGATTGTAGCACCAGCAGACGCGGGGGGAGCGCTCCACTTTTCCTTCATTGGGCGACCCTGAAAAGAGTCAAAAGTCACCCTGGAGTGGCGATGACCACGAGGAGAACCCTCAACAGAACACGGAAGGGCAGTAGCCCTTCCGTTTGATCCGAGGCAGCTCCTTTGGACCGACAGAGAAAATATCGGCCATCAACATGGCCAATCACTAAGCCACACCAGCTGAAAGACAAAATCACCACCAAGCACAATGAAAGCACCGCGGAGGAATTGGGTGAGACCTTACCTTACCTTTCTTGTATTCCAACTACCTTCCTGTAAAAGCCTCTTGAAATTTCTTTTCCCCCTTTAACATTGCGGCATCTGCCTACTTTGGGAAAATAAAGCTTTGAAAAGAAAAGAACAACTAAACTAAACAACTAAATAACTGGACTTGCACTTTTTGGATATTTGGGTCCCAAAAAGTTCCTATTTCTATGAGGACCTATTACCTTATCCACTTGTTAAGTTGGAAAAAAAATTAAACTGGATAAAAGCCTAATTTGAGTTTGGAAAAAGACTTTACATGCTGTTGGGACATCTTGTGGCAAATCCTGGTATAGCAAGTGATTTTTTTTTTCTTTTGACTGTGAGACCTGTCTACAGTCCCGATTTGTCCTTGGTACTATCTAAAAAAGATAAGAATTTGAAACAGCTGGATGGTGAAAACAACTTTTAGGAATAGTGGAGGTGGACATTCACTGACTTCTATCAAAAACAGCCTCCACTAAAGGACTATCTATAAACACCATAGAAATGGAGGAACACTACCCACAAATTGACTATAAACTTATAATCTGAAAAAATCCTTGAAGCTACTTAGCTAATGAATTCCAGACTGAAAGACAAAGGTGCGACCCTAAATTTACAAAATGAAGCCTAGATCTTAACTGATGAACCTACAATTCAAAAAGCAACAGAAGAGCACCAATTACAATCTATTGAGAACTTTGATAATCAAACCTTGATTTCAACTAAAAAAATCTGCAATTCAAAAAGCAACAGAAACTGAAGAAAGCAACACTAAGATGGAGGATGCTGAAGATCAACAAGTACAGCATATTGAGAACCTAGACAACCAAACAACAATCACAGCATTGGACATGACTTCTTACTTAAGCCAGATGAAACCGGAAAAAGAAGACCAGACTGAACTGACGACAAATATACTAAACAAAACATGGAGGTTTGAATTATTAGGCCAACAATTCAATGATTACAAAGGGGCCAGTTCCTTTGAAAAATTGATAACTGGATGGTCTCCCTTGATTCAAATAATGTGTGGGAATGAAGGGATATCCACCTGAGGATTTAAAGGCACTGGTATGGAAGCCTGCTTGGCACACCCATTTGCACATGCACTAGTGGGGTGTGCAGGCACACATTTCCCTGTTCCTCCCTTTCCCTCTGGGCCACTAACCCGGAAAGGTTGGGGAGCTCTGGTTTATACCACCAACTTGACTTTTTTGAGTCCCCCATGAACACTGCTACACCTATTTATAACTTCAGAGGGATAAGCATGCCTTAAGGGAATGATAAATTATACATGTTAAATTCACTACTGACTACTAGTATGAGAATACAACCAGCTCCATTTCGTTGGAACTCATCAGATACAGATAGCCTATATGTTAGGAGTATGGGTGTATGTATGGGTGCATATGGAGAGACAGAGAGAGAAAGAAACAGAGAATATGGGCTCACAGTCCTTGCACTTCAATGACTATAACAGGAATTTAGCTGTTAGGGTTACTTTTGGCCTGGTTATCGGTATCGTGTGGAATGAAAACATACGTTACATAGGGAATGGACTAAACTAGTCTGAATCAGCCTGGTGTTATTTTGGCAGCTAAAAGGCAGCTTTACCTAATTAATGTGCTTTAAATATTTGTTTCTTCTCTGTGATGTTTGCTTTTGTTTTTGTTTCTTCCTTACTCATTTTGATTTATATAGCAGAAGAGAGAAAATGTTAATTGTTTATTGCCACCATTGGAAAATTAATAATTTTCCACCACTGGAAAATTAATAAAACTTAATTTTTTAAAAAAAAACATGTTTAGTAGAACATTTTCCAGTTATAGAACTCTTGTGAAGGGATGTTGGTTGCTTCCTCCCCACTCACATATAAAAAAATATTAAATAAAATCATGCATATTTACCAAGACAATTGGAGCTAAGAATAACTTTTAGATTACCTACTTTGCTTCTTTTAAAATGAAATTTGCATTATTTTTTGTATTCATGATTGAATGTTGGTTTTATTGCAATAGCCTTATTAATGTTTTTTATTCTTCTGTTGTAAGCTATTTTGGGCTCTGCCAGGATGAAGAAAATAAATAATAGGTCAGATCCTTAGGCTGCTGCATTTTATTGAAAGGAAGCCTTGCAATCAGCTATTAAAAAATAAAAATAGAAGTTTTTACTAAAAGGCTTGCTAGCCATACTCATCGATGAACAGTACTACCATCAAACAGGCAAACACATTTAAACATGTAGGAATTACTTTTAATTCTTCTGTGATTTGAAGGAAAATCAAAAGCTTATTCAAAGTCAAATTCTTTAGGAAAGGATTCTACCAACTTCTGTGTATCAAAGACAAGCCTTACAGTGAAATCTGCAGAATTTTTGTGCCTTTTTCTCTCATTTGAGGGAAGCAATAAGCTACCTGCCACTTCCTGTTTGGGCAATAGGATCAATTTCCATCTTCTCTCATGTTAATAATGAATAAATCACATATCAGGCTGTTTAGATGTGATAATCACGTGTGTTTATGAGTGTGTTAAAAACAGTAAAAACCAAAGTAATTGATACAATTAAAAGGCCTCAATAAACAAATCTTTTGAGTGAATTATGGGGTATGGGGTTTATTTAAACTCGAGACAGTTGTTCCACAATATGGGTTCAGCCACATAATATGTAGGCATCAAATACAGGTAATTGAATTAACACTTCACTAAGCGACATAGCCCCACCAGTACTTACAACTGCCCTGAGATTACAAATGTTGCAGGACCACAGCAGTCATTCAGCCTTACAAATGACCAGAGGCACTGCAACATTTGCCCTGCCCTACTGGATCTCCACAGGCATTGGGCCTGTGGAAACTCACCTTGCGAAGTAGATTAGTGAACTGTCTCCTCTCTGCTGCAGTTTCTTTGCCTGCTTCGTTACTTCAGGCCTTCGGTGCATTCAGAGAATAGAGGCCTAAAGTACCGCAAGATCAGTAGCGCGAGATTTTGGGCTACTGATCTTGTGTAATCTTGCACTACTTTAGGCCTGTTCTCTTCAAATTGAGGCCTGTACAAGATCTGGGGCAAAAATAAACAGAGGGAAGGCTTCAGTGCTGCAGTTAGATTGTGTCCCTGTAGGCTCCAGTCATCTTTGCAAAAAGCCTTGGCCATCAAGAACGAAGCCCGGGAGGGGCCAGAGTGTCCCTCCTGGGCTCCGTTTTTGCCAACAAAAGCTTTTTGCAAAGGCTTGCCGAAGTGTTTGCAAGCCAATAGGATTCTTTGAGGCAGCACAATTTTGCTGCCCCAAAGGCTCCTGTCAGTGTGCAAACGTTTTGTGCACCAAGACTGGAAACTTTGGCGGGCCATGATCTTGCATGGCAGAGGCTGGAGAGGAGACACCTCGCTAAATCTTTGCAAGGTAAGTGACCTAGCATGGCAGAATGGGGGGGAGCAATTGTGTGGAGCATATTTCAGTGGGCCACTGGTCTTAAGCAGGTGGCCATTTCATCCCTAGCCCCCCCCCCCATGGTCTTCTCCACGCTGAGTTACCTCATGTGCATTTAACAACCTGTGTGTTTGATTAGCAAATGCATGGGCAAACACAGGGAGTTTTTACATTCATTTTACATGATTCACTCTAACAAATACTCGGATTATGAATGTAATCGGCAGGCTCCATTACATTTATAACTCGATGATTAACTATATATCAGCGGAAGAACATACAAAAGAGACAATAAAACTGGTAATTGAAGAGTGTGAGATGAACTGAATATGAATAAACAGTTTTGCATCTACTGGTAGTTTTTTTTCATAATGTTGATGTTTCTATTTAGTAGTCATATTTTGTGAAAGAACTTCTCATGAAGTAACAAATAGAAAAAGCAAAAATATAAGAATTCTATGGATAAGAAAGCTACTTTCCTTTTTTTAAACAGTTTTATTAGTTTATGTTATAATGTACAAAAAATACAAAAGCAAATAGTAGGAAAAATAGGGAGGAGGGAAGGGAAAAGAAAAGTAAAAAAAAAAAAAAAGGATTGACTTCTGACTCTCTTTGGTTCCATAGAATAAGGCATTAACATCAAGTCTCATTTTTTTACTTTTACATAATAGTTTAAACTAGCCATTTCTGTCTAACTGGTAAAACCCAAAATCAAAGTTTCATTTTTTTCCACCTCAAGCACAAAGTCCAGAAGCAGTTTCCAAATAGAAATAAAAGTATTTGCATTTTTTTCTTTGATCAAAGCAGTCAATTTAGCCAACTCTGCTAACTCCATCAACTTTTGTAGCCATTTGTCCATTGTCGGGATCAAAAAGAAAAGCTATTTTCCATTCGTAAACCAGAAAATAATTTTATTAAGTAAAAACAAAATGTAAAAAAATATTTTTAATGTGTCACAAGGAAAAAAATATTCAGTATAAGGGAAGTAATACTATGAGAACTTAAGTTAGCGCAAAATATTTTTTTCTAGTGTTGTCTTTCAATAACCTTGTTCAGTCCTTTAGAATGCAATTTCCCATAGAGCAACGCTCAGCCTTAAACAACTTTTACATGCTGATTTTATGCTATTAAGCTGTATTTGTTTCAAATTTCTCTCTAAAGCAAAAGATATACACTTTACATTAACTAACAACCTTAGTCTTTCAGTTTGATTGTATAAAATAATCTTATTATATTGTACACAGTAGCTCTAAATTATATAAAAGTAACATTTGAGATTTTATTAATTCATCAGATAAATATCAATAAAAAGTTTAGTTTAACTGACAGTTGAGTTCCAACATTGATAAACAAGCTTTATAAAACAGCTGCATAATGTGTACATAGATACAAGAAGTCCAGTCCAATTTTTCTGAAACTGTCATAATGATAAACTCTTTCATGTTTTAATTGCAAGAAATTCCAAGTGTGTTCATTACCATCTCAATGGCTTGCAATGGATCAACAATCTCTCTTATATTATCTTTCCTTAAATCCCAATCTGGCCTCTGCCTACAAGATGAAAAAGAAATCCATAAAAATAAAAGTATAATTTGAAATAGAAAATTAAAAGTTACAACAATTCAGACTTACCTTGAAATTATTTTTACTTTTACAGGAATGGAGCTCTGTCCATTTATGTAGGCATCTAATTTTTGTTTGGCAAGCATTCTTTGGACATCCATTTGATGTTTACGGGCTGTTAGTTTAAATAATCTCCGAAGGCTAGCAACTACTTTATGATTGTTTCGAATCTCCTAAAAAATAAGCAACTATTATTAAAATATAGTATTTGTTCAATGAAACCTCACAACTGTATATCTTTGAAAAGCCTTTCAAATTTTCAATTGGACCAGTTTGATGTTCTTTCTATCTCAGTATGCCTCATTTACACCAAGTACTTCATTTTAAAGCTAGTCTCAGGCTATAGCATACAAAATTCAGGATTCACTCTATAGAAAAAAACAAATTCAAACACTTAAAATAAGACATATTTTATTAAAACACATAATTGTAGAATAGGAAGAGCTAGTAATTTTTCAAAGTAGTATGGTCTACCAATTATGAATTTTTTGAACTAAGTTCTACTTTTAAAGACTGTTAAACGTTTGGGATCCAGTCAACCTGATTTATAATCTACATACTAAAAGGCAAACATCAGTAGAAATTGTCTACTTTCAAATATATACCCCAAAGAAGCAAATTCCTATCTTCCTTAGCATATTTAAAATTTGTCAGCATAACTAAGAGAAGAAAATCCCATTTTAGAATCTAATATCCAAGATTTGCCTTTAACTATATAGTAGGTCACATATAGTGACTGAACAGTTATAATCATGATGAAAATAGCTTTGCAACTAGCCCTCACATTTACAACCTTCACAGGTCTGAAAGCAAAGGAAAGCTGAAGACCATAAGCAGTCACTTATTAGCTGCTTCATTTAACAACCAAGTTGCAAATCCCAATTGTAATAAAAACAAGTGTTAGTTGGAGATATATATATATATATATATATATATATATATATATATATATATATATATATATATATATATATATATATATGAAATAATAATAGCATAGTGAACTTCTTACATTATTTTGGCAATTCATAAAATACATTTTAGTTTAAAACAACCAATTTTAGTGGAAGAGCTCAATATTTGCTCACTATTTCATTCTAAAATACTGTTATGTCTGTTTTAAAAAACCTCCAGCAACTGCACTGCTACCTCCAACTACTAGTTTCTACATCTGAACCCAAAGGCTAGTCCTAGCTATTTTTTGGCATGCAGGCCCAACCAAGAAAAAGAATTTGCATTCCAATTTTTGAATATATTTATATTTCAATATATACTTTGGCAATTCCTACATAATGAAGACACAAAAAGTTAACAAATAAAACTTACAGAAGCTCTTCTTGAGTCCTTTGAGAGATGAGCAAATAAGCAACATGTCTTGGTAAAAATACTACCACTTTTTTCTGAAGTTTTGTCCCCAGCTCTTTCCCGGTACATCTGAAGTAAATCCAACAATGTTCCTACTGAATTTTCCACCGAATAAACAGCATCAGTAGTTCTTTCATACTAAATAGATGAAAAGAGTTGTAAGTTAATTCTCAAAAATCCTAGGATTGTTCATTTGTGAAACCATTATTGGAAGTGCAGAATGACAAATAAATGCCAATGATTTACAGCATCAATACAAAGGTACAAATAAACTCATTCTTGTCTATTTGTTAGTAAATGTGAATAATATAAGCAGAATAAGCTAACTTTATTTTAGCAAATATCTTAATTCTAGATTAAAAGATTGTACTTAGGCAGAACAATGACTATTATAATAGAATTGACTATAACTTATGAATTGAGGGGAGAGATGTCTTCTTTTACTAGCAAAAATAAGACCTTGCTCTCCCCGACCTCTATGACATATAAATGTCTTACTACTTAAATGTTTTGAAAATCAACCTGAAGATTTTTTTTTAATTGCCTAATGAAATTCATTTTTTTTTCTAATGCCTAACCAGGGCTTTCTTTTCTTAACTTTCTCTCAAAATACAGTTTTTCCAAACCATATCTTGCCAGTATAGGGAACAGCAACAATGTTTCTAGATGGTACTTTTTCATCATCTGCAAATATATATTTTTTCCAAATACTGAATTCAATCAAAGCTCGCTAAAGGTACATTATCACAAATTATTTCATAAGCAGTTCCAGTAGCTATGTGGGATTAACTAATATGCTTAGACCTTAATTTAAAATTTACTTTCCCTATTTTTTTTTAAATGAAGTGTTTTGTTCAAATACTTTTTGATTATTTGGCAGACTGATACAAGAACAATGAGTATTTTTTTTGCAATATGAATCATGGCACATTATGTGAAACGCTAATCAGACTGATATTTTTTTTTGAAAACCAATATCACTGGTACTTTTCACAACATGAATGCGGCTTATAACTGCATTAAATTAAACTTGAAATAGACTTCAATAGTGTAAATGAGTTTAGCTCTCATTTGCAATATAACTTGAAATTTAAATTCTGGCACTTATTAAAAATGAGAAAATAATAACTAATGTTATTATTATTTTGTAAGTTTATTGATATAAACTTACAGAAAAATAAAAAACAGCTTAATTTCAACAAACATGAAAATATATAAATACCTTTGATAAATTAAGCAAGACTTGGACAGAATATTTAATAACATCCATGCTAGGGACACTTCTATTGCAGCTCCGTATCAAAGTAAAAATAGTGCAGACTGCTTTAGTTTGGGCCATATTTTCACAGCAAACAGGAGACAATCTAGTTACAACCTCTGACAAGAGGAAAAACAGGAAAAATATTAACATCTTTTCAAACTAATACCTAAATATATTGTAGAAATAAATATAATGACCAATCCATTCCTTATACAACTGGAACAACAGAAGAATTGATTGTATGTGTTTACATCAACTCTTAGTCTAGTCCAGGCATGTCAAATTCGCGACGTCACACATCAGGCGACTTTTTCCCCATTGCTGGCAATGGGATGGGCGTGGTTTCAATATGATGCATCCGGCCCATGGGCCAGCAGTTTGACATGCCTGGTCTAGTCCTATGATATTCTATTTACTGCAACTTAGGCTCAGAGCTCACAACATTCAAAGGCATCATAATTTAGAACTTAAGAATTACTGCATTTTACATTGCCAGTCATACCATTATTTAAACTGTGAGGAACTCTCAACTGCACAAATTTCAGCCTTACATGTGGACGATAATCAGGAAACAACCAACAGGGCAAGATAAGTCATCAAATCATCATACTCCCTCCATACATATGAATCAAAATTGCCCTATGTATAGAGTAACCCAGTGGTGAAATAATATTTCTTTCAGACACGTATTTAATTTTGACCTAGGTATCGCTCTCTTTCTGTTCTCTTTCATTTAAGATACCAATGCTTCTAAAGGCTAAAGTAATAACAGGTAAAATAACTAATTTTTAGTTAGTTTTGTCCGTTTTTCAAACAAAGGGGTGTTTAACTTTGTACTTAGAAGAATGTTTGTATACTGATATTTAAAAATAAAGACTGCCCTTGAATCAAATTACTAACCCAGATCCTTTAGAGCTGTCAGAATGTAAGAAAAATGTTTATATCTAAGAAGATAATCAATAGCAACTGAAGTTCTATTGCACAGCTTCTTCTCTTCTTTACTTTCTTTATTGGCAATGATCAAACTGTCTCGCAGAGATCTGGTTTCTGGAGTATCAGTCTTCTTTCTCCAAGAATATCCTCTCCACAGTGCCTTGTAAGGGGAGAGTGGAAAATTGCATGTTTAAGGAATAAAAGAAGTGGCAGAAACTTCCAATAATGTAGCTTTATTATTTAAAAATAAATTCCTCTACTTTTTTCAGGTAACATTGTTTTTCTCCAAAAAGAATTTTTTTTCTCAAATCATTCAATGAAAATTCATAAATGGAAAGTTTTAGATAATGGGCTATTCATTAAACATTCCCAGATAATCATTGAGCAATATAAAAGATTTTAGATCTAGTTCACAGAATATCCTAGAGAAAAATCATTGTTTTCACATTTGCGAGTTTTTAGAGTCAGTTGATCTGAAGCAGAATGAGCAAGTTTGACTTTTTTAAAAAAAAATATTCATATAGCTGTCCATCGTAAAACTCTGCACAGCTTACAAACAATAAAGCAATATAAACAATTATAAAAACCAACAATAAAAATAGAAAAACCCTGTGCCTCAGCCACATTTCTTTTATGCAGAGATTCTCAGCCCACCTTGGGCTTGCCCTATTCCATTGCCTGGGAGCCAGGTTTTACGTACTTTCTGGAAGAATAAGACCCGAGGGGGCCTGTCAGATCTCAGAAGGGAGGAGCTGCTATAAAAAAGGTATAATTCTAAAGTCCTACAAGATGGTAATATTTAAATGTGGATATCCCAAATATCCACAATTAAGTCATGAACAACAGAAACTTCATTACAAGCTGATTCGATTTCTTTTACCAGGATCACTGCATGCCCAAGAAAAAAAAATCCCAAATAAAATATTTGGCTTTGAAACAAACTTTGTCTTTTATGCATGTTCCTAATCTGCATAATTTTTCTGGAAATTTACTTACCTGAAACTTAGTTACTCCAGCGCTAACAATTTGAGGGTTTATGTCTTTTGGAATTCCAACTGTATTTATAGTTCTGCGGCTAATCCATCTCCTCACCATTCTTTGTATTATAATAATTTTCTTACGATATTGCAGGTATTTCCTCCTTTGCCAGTTTCCTCGATACCATCTCTGTTTTAAAGGGATATAAATGGAACTTGAGCTCATGGCCTCATAATATGAAATTATGAAAGCAGCAGCCTAACATAGGTGAGGGACAGCTATAAAAAGATATTCCATATCTTAAAGGTACTGGACTTAAATAATTTTGCTTTTAATTTGTAGTTAAATTGTATCAAACGATATTTAATTCAAGCTTATTCTGGCAGCAATGAATGCTGGGGAAAACTGATTTTTTTAAATACCTGTATTTTTATCGTACTTCTTTTCATTCTGGAAAACCTTTGTCGTTCAATGAAACCTCTCACTGTAGCTTGCAAAAGAATTATACTCTTATGTGTTAGTAAATAAACCATTGAATGATGTTTCGTAGTCAGGTAAAATCTATAATGTTGTTGTATCAAAACTGCAGCTTTCCAATATTTCTGGTATTGTTCTGTGGCTTCATTTGTCTGGCGCTGACTCTTTGATTCAATAGCTTCAGTTCTACAATTCACAGCTGTAGGACACAACTGTCTGTTTCTTGCTGCATGCATTTTCTTTGCTATCTTGCGTGCTACCATTCCACGATAGGCAGATTGAATAATTATCACAGCCCAGCATATCAATTTGTAATGTTTTTGCTGTACATACATCCGATAAACAGATTGGATGATAATTGCCGAAACATGCATGGTGTCCAGTTCTGGCTGTATTTTTGTTCCTCTGCAAGTGACCTGATTTATTATAGATTTCTGAATTGTCTGATGTGTATTTTGATGTTTTTCCTTTGATCGATAGTACTTCTGCATGGTAACAGTAGCATATCTCAGTTTCTGATAAGCTAGTTTAACTTTATACATTCTAAATGTTGCCTGAATGACTGTTGCTGCTAAATGCTGGCGTTTGACTTCTTTCCGTATTTTAAAACCTCTATAGAAAGACTGCACACAAATAATTTTTGCACGAACAGAAGCATATTCTTTAGCTTGTCTTCTCATCACAAACAATGCCCTATACCTTCTCTGAAGAGATATAGCAGCCGCTTTTAAGGTAATGTAATTTTTATGTGCTCTTTGCATTTTAAAGTTCCGCTGAAGCAAGATAGCAGCTTCCTGCCTTTTTTGGTTTCTTGCCTTCATCCTGCGAAAAGCTTTCTGAATGCAGATGGCAGCTTTCTTGATGGAAGAATATTGCTGGACTGCAATTTTGCTCTCTTGGTTGGCTCTGACTCTCTCCTGGATGAGTCTGACTGCCCACTGAATATTTCTGTAGGACTTCCATTGCCTGTGTTTTCTATAGTTACTTTGTATGACTACTGCAGCTTCGTGTTTTTTCTTTAACACATGCCTCACTTTCATTCCTCTGTAAGCTGCCTGAAGAATTAAAGCAGAGCGACGCTGCTTTAAGTACAAAGCTCTGGCTTGCTTGCCTTTTCGGTATGCCCTACAATGTTGCTGTATTACAACACAAGCAGACTTCACAGTTCTGTATTGAGTGTAGGCTATGTGCATCCGAAAGGTTGCCTGGATAACTGCAGCAGCCAGATGCATTTGCTTTACGTATCTCCTAACAAGCAGGCCTCTGATGGTAGACTGTATTACAATCACGGCTCTGCGTAAATGAAGGAACTTCTCGCGTTGCCGTTTTGCTCGATACCTTCTCTGAATTGTCACAACGGCTGATTTAAGAAAAATAAATTTACGCCTCTGAACAAAAGCTTTAACATTTCTTTGAATGATGATGGCAGCCATGTGCATCTTTTTTAAAAGGACTCTAATTTTCATACCTCGGAAAGCAGCCTGGATTTGGAGAGCAGAAATCTTCATCATTTTGTATTTGTATCTGAGCATTTGTATCTGAGCATTTTTATCTCTGGAAGCACGATACCAACGCTGAATCACTTTTGTTGCTGCAACTAACTTTAAATAAGCTTTCCGTTCTCTGTACATTCGATAATATGACTGAATAACTAGTATGCACTGGTGCCTACTTCTCAATTCCTGTCTAATTTTCATGCCTCTGTAGGCTGCTTGAAGAATAAGAGATGACTTTCTAAGTGCCAGATATTTTTTCCGATCTTTCTGGCCTCTGCAGAAAGCTCTGTATCGTGCTTGAATTATAGTAGCTGACCTTTTCAGGGCCCTATATTGAACATTACTCCGATGCATTTTAAACATGGCTTGGATACAAATAGCTGCTTGGTTCATGCGCTGGATTTTTCGCCTTTCTCTCAAACCTCGGTAAATTGCCTGCATTTTAACAGCTGCTTCCTTTAAAGCAAGATATTTTTGTTGTGCATTACGGACTTGCATAATAGCACGATACCATCTCTGAATTGTAACTGCAGCATCCCTGAGATATTTAAACTTAACTTGATTCTCATGCATCCTGTAATAGGACTGAATAGTCACTGCAGCCTGATGCTGTCTTTCTATTTGCTTCCTCACAATAGTTCCTCTCCAAGTTGCCTGGAATAACAGGGTGCTGTTGCGAAGAACAATATATTCCTGTTGCTGTTTTTTACTTGAGATGTGAGCCCGATAATGCTGCTGTATAGTAAGAGCAGCATGTCTCACCATTCTGAATCTTTTCATAGCTTTATATTTTCTGTAGGCAGACTGTATAGTAATTGCAGCAACATGTTGCCTCTGAAGCCATTTTCTCACTTGCTGACCACGCAAAACTGCCTGTAAGGAAATCACAGCTGCCTTTGTTTTCTGAAATTTTTTTCTTATTTTGGATCCACTTTTAGAAGTCCTGTACCATCTTTGAATCACGATGGACGCTTGAATCAAACTTTGATATTTCATTCTAGCAGCATGAGCCCTGTACATAGCCTGGATTTTTGTAGCAGCCATGTGTTGGTGTCTTAGCATTCTTCGAATTTTAAAACCCCTGTAGCCTGCTTGCAAACACAAAGTTGCCTTTTGGATTTGCAAAAACCTCTGTCTCTGAAACATTTGTTCTCTATGTGCACGATAGTGTATTTGAATGACAGATGCAGCTCCAGACATCTTTAAAAACCGCCGCCTCTCTCTCTTCATTCTGTACCAAGCTTGAAGGACAATTACAGCCTCTTGCCATCTCTGAATAACAAGAAGAGAACACAAGTTATGCATTTGCTTGTTCAGGGTTTTTTTAAAAAATAAAATATGAAGACCAACAAATATTCTCCCAGTGAAACCTTTATTTATTTGAACTTGAAATCTGATACTTCACGAATAAAAACTACACCTCTTAACCATCTTAAGTAAAAATTGATTTATTTTGACTTATACAAAGTCCATTATACCTGCATTGCAATTCTTTCAGTTTCTTCTTGCGTTGCTTTTTTTAATTTCTGAAGTTCCAGTACAGCCAAATATCTTCTCCAGTGCTTTTGAATTACAACTACTGCATTAGATGTTTGCTTCCTGGTCTGGGAAAAAAAAAATATAGACAATTCTCTTTTCTTCCAATAGCAGTAGTCTGAATAGACAATAAAGAACAAAATAGAAAGCAACTGAATACCTCAGCAAGTTTTATTTTCAATCTGTATTTTCTCCAAGCAGATTGAATCAACAGAGCTGCTCGAATCTCTTTAGAAAGACTTATAAGTCTTGAACACAGAAATGACACATAAGTAATGACTACCTAAAAAGAGAGAACATACAAACAGAAACTTACTAGGTTGTGAGGAAACAAAACAACTTTGAATTTTAATGACCTGACTGATTACCTTCTCATCAGGTATTGTATTAGACATGTCTGAATACTGAATCATAGCTGGAATACCTCCCAGATCAGAAACTGCAGCATTGATCAGTTGAAAATTCCTCTTTTCATTGTCAAGAAGTTCTTTATAAAGCACTGAAGTACTAATAGCTTTGTAAGCAAAAACATGAAAAATGAAATATATTAAACCAGAAATAATAGTAACTCATAATTTCAACCTGCTTTGAAGCCAGCTGTATTTTTAATGAACTCACTTTGATCAAAAGTTTCATTTATTAGATTTAGAGAAGCATCAGACTCAGAAGAGGAATTCAGCCCAAGAGTGCCATTTCTGGTACATTCTACTGTTTGAGTAGTGCGTTTACATACAGCCTCCAAAGGCACATAACATGGGTGATAATGATGAATCAAATAACATAATACTCTTCCATCTGAAAAGGACACTGTGAAATTTTCCACCTAGAATAAAGGAAATTAAAAAGCAATTGTTGCTCCCAGTGGTAACTCTGTGATCGCTGTAAAAATCTAAATCTATAAATCTGTAAATAAATCTATGTTAAAACAGTTCTAAAGCATTAATTCTGAGATTAGGACCTATTCCTCTGGATTTTTTCTTTTTCACAAATATCTCTTATTTTAAAAAGGCAACATGTAGAAGTCTACATTTTCTTATGTAGTAGCCTAAAGTGAGTTTTTTTTAAGTCAGTTTAAGATTGGGAGACAAGTAGGCTGATAGGAAAGAAAGAAACAAGGCTCTATGAGTAGTAAATTGTGGCGGAAAGGTGGGGACTAGGTCAGCAAATTCATTTTACTTCTATTATTTTATGTTAAATTACATTTTCTTTTTTTTGTTACAAGAAAAATGTATCCAAATACTTTTGCATACATATAAACATAAAACATAAAAAAACCAAAAGAAAATATGATGCCAAATAGTTTGGAAATCCTTACTCTATAGAATATTACTCTGAGAGAGTATTATTCCACAACAATTAGATGACACAAACATTCTGCAGTGGTTTTGTAAAAAAAAAAAAAAAGCACACATTTTGAGACAGATCTCATCCTTCACTTTTACTAAACTAACCTGAAGCATCAACAAGTTTGTATTTAAGCTCTGTTCTTATTTAAAGATTTCAGCACATGATTTATCTTTAGTGTTACAAATTGTTGAAACTAAAACAGAGGAATATATGACCATAATATAAACGTATTTAAATATTTAACATCAAATTAAATAGTTGACTTAGCATAACACTGACTAGTAGAAAATTTAGTGAGTTTAAAAGGAATCAGTGTCACATAATTTCTTAACCAAAGTAATTGTTAATCAAACAATATGCAATATACTTTGGAATAACATACAGTACTATCTTTTATATGTTAAGCACAATCATACTGCCAGGCCATTATGTTTGTACCTTTTTTTGTGCCATAAGTTGCTATAAATCATCATCATCATGATACTCCATCAGTAAGCAATTATTTCCATGATGCAATTTAGCATCAAAGAACTGTACCAAGAAGAGACAGGACAGTAGCAAATGCTATACTATTATAAATAAATCATATCAACTCTTGCTTTAATATTGTAGTTTTCACTGCAGCAATATTATCCATATAACAAATATATAATCAAAACATAAATACACTTGTCTCAACGTTTCAATTCATTTTTATTTATTATTAATATTATTATTACATTTGATCAAGTTTAATAACTATCATATTCAGAACAGTCTGCTTTGTGAAATTGTTTAAGAAATAATTATTTACCTTAATGTTGTAAAATCCACAGACAACATTCACCCAATCCATCAGCAGTTTTACATTGTCACCATAGCTGTCATACGAATAAGACCTGCTGATGTCATTTCCCATGTTGCTGACAGATTCCAGATCAGGTCTTTTTAATTTTGTAACTTGCAATTTTTTTAAGAAAGCAATTTCTGCTTTTAGCTGATCCACGTCAAGAGAAATATTCACCTAAATAAGATCCAACCACCATTATATTCATAACACATTCTTTATACAGTGAAATAATTAAACTGAGAGTATTATTGATGAAATTTTAAAAATCATTCTGAGTAAAAGATGTTAAAACATACCAACTCTGAACAAATTGCTAAGACAGAAATTATCAAAAACTAAAATGGCAACAGGTAAAGTGTAGGATATTACACATTTTCAAAACTGTTGAGTTTGTTCAGATTGTGAACAGTCCAGAGAAAGTTCTAATAATTCAGAGGGACTGTGAAAATAATGTCTTAATCTAGGAAATCAGTCCCATATAGCTATGTATATAAGCCTAAATTATTTAAAATAAACTATTTAGGACTCTGTAGTGCTTTGCTCTCAATTCTAAAAAGATGTTCCGAAATGTGAAATAACGCTACCGTAAACTCTACCTGTAATGCTTTAAAGCAACTGGTTTTTTTCTTGGAATTATGCAGCTACCATATGGTCATAAGACATGGCTGCACACAGTGCTGAAAAATGATTATGAAAATTAAAAATTAAACTAAATAATGATAATAATCAATTTCTTAATAATTTCTGTATATATTTTAAAGGTTGCAAATCTTAATATCCATAGCTGCTACTCTGTACGACAGCTTTCAATGAAAGCTCTCCAAATGTTAATAAATATATTCTTATTGGTGTTGTCATCTATTTTGATTTTTTTTTTTCTGAAATTGAATACTGCACATCTACTTTTACACAATGGCTTTATGCACGAAACAAAGTAATACCATAGTATCACGCTCAGACCATTGTTTGCTGAAATTCTGAAGCAAGAGAATAACTTTATTTTATGCTCTAAAGATAAATTAAACCAATGATTATGCAGTACCTGAAAAGCGAACACTATTTTCCATAACAAAGCAAACGTTTTCTCTCTATGTCGATCTACAATGTCCTTTGTGTCAATGGTTGAACCTATAGACCAATAAAACTGATTGATGAAAAGCAATATCAACAGACTTGTAAAATACCACTTCCCCGTTACTTTCTAGAACTTACCATGTTCATCTTTCAACTGAATTCCATAATCATTCAATACCTCAAAAGCAAGTTTAACATTATGCATCTTCTGAAGTCTGCTGATTGCAGGCACTCTTAATTTTTTGGAAAGAGTCCACTCTGATGACAGCAGTTCTAAAGTTCTCCTTAAATACATATATTTCATATTAAAAAGTAATTAATTTCTTCATGCAACATACTTTTGTAATTGTAATGAGAAAATTCAGCAAAAACTTACACAAGACGAATGCCACATTGTAAGTCTGTAGCTAGATTTGTAACTGCAAAGTCAAATTCATCAAGCGGAGTCTGTACGTGGCTAACAGGGAAACCCAAGAAGCCAAGGTGACGTGAAAGATCACCTTCTCCACTTAAAAAGTCCCGGGAAAATGCTAGTAATATTTCTTTACTAGACTAGAAATAAAGAGGAAAAAAAATCAGTACACATATACAATAGAGCTACTATCCTACATAATAAATGAGTACTAAGTTAGTGAACTATAATATAAATATTACTGTTAGCTGTATACTTTGTTTTTAATATTATGGACATTAATTGCAATCATTAATAAAACTGCTAGTTACATATCATGTAGATCAAAAATTTGTAATAAACCCATTGCTGATTCAATTCTAATCAGTCCTGAAAAAAAATCTTATATTCAAAAAATATTCTAAAGAAATTAGCATGGCTTGTCTTTCAAAAACACAAATATATACAGATTATAGGCAAACATAATTCAAGACAAGTGAGAATACCTTAAATTCTGCATTTTTGAAGAATAAGCAAGGGTCGTGTTCAATAATTCGAGACACTTTGGCACGATCAAGGAAGCAAACCAGTAGTAGAAGTTTTTTCAGTGTAAATTTGGACAATGCCTCTTCATGACCTATAAATGCAGTATAGAGATGCATATAGAGATGTTTCTTCTATTTTTTTTTACCTTTGTTGTTTTCAGTCAATCTGGATTCCTACATGGATTTTTTTTTAATCATTTTTGGAAATGTTTGCCATTTCCTTCTTCTTAGGATGCTGTCAGACGCCTTTCAGAACAGCTCAGTGGGAGTTAATCTGAGGTACAGAACCGATGGGAAACTGTTCAACCTGCGAAGACTTCAGGCTGTCACCAAGGTAAAGGAAACTGTGCTACGAGATCTCCTCTTTGCTGATGACTGTGCCCTTAATGCAGGATCGGAGCAGGAAATGCAAGCCAAATTCGCAGCCGCTTGTGACAACTTTGGCCTCTTCATCAACACGAAGAAAACTGAAGTGATGTACCAGCCAGCTCCAAAAGCCCAATATCAAGAGCCTACCATCACAGTAAAGGGACAAAAGCTGCAAGCAGTGGACCAATTTATGTATATTGGTAGTACCCTCTCCCGTGCAGTGACAATTGACATCGAGGTCAACTGTAGAATTGCCAAAGCAAGTTCTGCATTTGGCAGATTGCAGACTAACGTGTGGGACCGCCGTGGAATAAGTCTTGCTACCAAGCTTAAAGTTTACCAGGCAGCAGTGCTAACTACCCTATTGTATGCTAGTGAGACCTGGACAGTGTACAGGAGGCACGTTAGGCAACTGAACTACTTCCACATGACTTGCCTTCGTAGAATTCTGAGGATCCGGTGGCAGGATAAGATACCAGACACAGATGTCCTCTCCAGAGCAGGCCTATTATCAGTTTACACTCTGTTGATGAAAGCCCAGATGCGTTGGGCAGGCCATGTTGTAAGGATGCCAGATCATCACATCCCTAAACAGCTCTTCTATGGTGAGCTGTCTTAAGGAAAGCGATCGCACGGGGGACAAAAGAAGCGATACAAAGACACGCTGAAAGCCTCTCTTAAGTCCCTGGATATTAACACCATCTCTTGGGAACTTCTGGCGCATGATCGACCGACATGGCGCACCTTGGTGTACCAGGGTTGCCAGACATATGAACACAGAAGGACAATCTTGGCACAAGAAAAGCGAGCACTCCGCAAAGCCAGAGCTGCAAATGCTGAAGTAACAGTGTCTACATTTCTTTGTTCAGTATGTGGCAGAACATTCCGTGCTAACATCGGTCTTATTAGCCACCTATGGACACATCGTTGATGGCCCATAACCCACAAGATGTCAAGGTCTTCATCGAAATCGATGGACGAACAACAAGGATAGAAAATGATTGGCCCAAGGACACCTGGCTGGCTTCATGCCTAGGGCAGCACTAAAACTCATAATCTCCCAGTGGTGCCTCTAGCCTGGTGCCTTTAACCACTATACTAAACTTGCTCTCAGTTTTGAAATACATTTATGTAATAGCAAAGAAAAATTTTACCGTCTCGATAAAGGTGAGGCACAGTTGGGTGTCTGTATTCAGCTGCAATATCTGGGTTCCACAACAAGCGATTAAGTATAAATACTGCTAAACTCATTACATCACTGTTACTTTCCAAAGCAATCAGTTCACCAAAGATTGTCTGACAAAGAGAAAATGGTGAAAATAATTCAAAATATGAATAAAACTATTTTAGCAATAGGATGACATTCAAATTTTTGTAACTATTTGGCAAACACATATCATTAATTTTGCTGAGTCTGCATTCCTATAAGTTTTATCTTCACAGAATTTTTTAAGAAGCAATAGAACAAAATATGGAAAAGGAAGAAAACAATATACCATACTATGTTAATGCAGCTGTTCTTATTACTGCAAATCAGTTTAATGAGCCACAAAATACTTCACTTGTTTTGGCCACTGATACCTATTCGTGTTAAGCGTTACGTTCCCAACCAGAAGAATTTTGCATTAAAGGATATCTTATCCTGGTCTTGAACAGTTCCTTGTAACATGATAATCATTAGACTTCACAAAATAGCATATTGCTTACAGAATAATCATTACAAATTACAGACTCACTTCTAGGCCTATGCGCAACCATAGTGGATTGTAACATAAAATCCAGCTGAGGATTTTCTGTCGTTCTCCTGAAAGAAAGACAGGGGCAAAATCATTATGTAGTGAAAGCATTTCTGAATAATGTTACAGAAAGATATTGATGATAACATTAGTAGCAGAGGCATGGTCAGTTTATCCATCAATTTTCTTAAGCCAACCCCCCCCCCCCCAAATGCAACTATATTCTTACCAATATCCTTCCAAAGGTGTCGGTCTTTTCGAACTAGCAAGCGTTTTGCTTCAATCTCAATCTCCAGCCTTTTTATTGCTTTCACCATTTCCTCACAGGTGAACAAACGGCAAGCTGACCTACGAAGTTTGTTTAATTTGCATCGAGTTGTATATGCTCTTAACGATGCTTCTTCTTTTGTTGGTGCTTTAGGAACACTAGATTTATAAGTTTCTGTTCCCAGGATGAGACATGATGTATTAACTAATAAAGAGAAAATAGTTGTATGTGTTTAACACTTACACAATCTCATCTTAAAAATTATTATTTCATGTACTTCCTTGATTAACGTGCTTTTCCTGATATTTCCTGGTCATTAAGTGAGTCACTATATGATCACACCAATTTTAAATTCTTTATATGGTGGTCGTTAAGCAAATGTGTTTTCATCAATTGGCATTTTTGCTGGAAACCAGAAGAAACTGGCAAAGAAATGCTCCAAATTGCAGCCACGTTGACTGCAAGATGCTGCAGGTAGCCGAAAACGTGAGCCAGTTGCCAGATACCCAAAATATGATCACATGCTGTGTGTGTGTGTGTGTGCGCGCGCGCGCACACACCCATACGGCCACCAGAACTTTAAAAGCAGATCCTAAGTAACTCTAGGAAATTGTTAAGCAAGGATTACCTGTGCTACTTTCTATCCAATTCTCAAAACTCAACCAAAAACAAAAGAAAACAAGACATTACTTTAGGCAATGTTGAAGAACTGAGAAGACTAGGGACTGATCAGAAAGAAAAATGGTAATTAAGAGCAATGCATACCACAGTAAAGGAGATGGCTACTAAATGCTGAAAAGATCTGTGGGGCTGTAAAATTCCTATTAAGAAATATCAGATTGTCACTAGCTAGAATTATAGAGAAAGTAAAATATAAAGGTACTGAGGTTTTTCAGCAAGATTTGATTAAAAAAAGCTTTTTGGACTTTTACACAAAATTATATTCAAGTGATAATATAAGGGGTTTGGATATAGATAAATATTTCCAATCAGTACATTTTCCTAGACTTTCAGAGGAACAACAAAATGGGATGAATAGTTTAATTACTGTGGAGGAAATTGGCTTAGCTATTAAGCAGTTAAAGGTTGGAAAGTCTCCTGGAACAGATGGACTGACTTCTAGGTATTATAAGATTTTATCTGAAGAAATGATAGAGCCACTAAAGGAACTCTTTAATAGTATTTTGTTGGGTATGCAAGTTCCTCCTTCTTGGAAAAGAGCTTTTATATCACTGATTCCGAAGGAAGATCAGGATCTTACAGAGCCTAAGAATTATAGGCCAATTTCATTATTGAATGTTGATTATAAGATCTTTACAAAAATTTTGGCAAATAGATTAATGCAGGTTATGAAAGACTTGATTCATAGTGATCAAGCAGGATTTATAACAGGGAGATATATGAAACATAATGTTAGACAAATTATTAACTTAATTGAGTACTTGGATAAGAATAATCAGATTCCTGTGGCTTTTATCTTTTTGGACGCTGAAAAAGCTTTTGATCAATTGGACTGGCAATTTTTATTTTCTTTGGTAGAGAAAATGAATTTTGGGGATAATTTTTTACATGCACTTAAAGCTATATATCAGCAGCAATCTGCACAAATTGTTGTAAATGGGGGATTGACTGAGAATTTTAATATTCAAAAAGGGACAAGACAAGGATGTCCATTATCCCCATTGTTATTTGTTTTAACATTGGAAATTTTATTGATTCAGATTCGGGAATCGAAGTTAATTAAGGGTGTAAAGATAAGGAAGAATGAGTATAAATTGCGGGCATTTGCGGATGATTTGGTTTTAATTTTGGAACAGCCGAATCAGGCGATTGATGGTTTATTAGAACTTATAACACAGTATGGGAATGTTTCTGGTTTTAAAGTTAATAATTATAAGACTAAGATATTATCTAAGAATATGTCAGTTAAAGAAAGGGAAAGTTTGATTAAAGCCACAGGTTTTCAGATGGTAAAAAAGGTTAAATACTTGGGAGTATATCTAACTGCTTCAAATGGAAAATTGTACAAGAACAATTATGAACCACTATGGGCAAAAGTCCAAAAGGATTTAATAGATTGGAAAAAATTGCAATTGTCATTGTTGGGGAGAATTTCAGCTGTAAAAATGAATGTTCTACCAAAGTTTCTTTTTTTGTTTCAGATGATACCTATTCTTAAAAAAGAGGCAAATTTGGAGGAATGGCAAAAGGGTATCAATAATTTTATATGGGCCGGGAAGAAACCAAGGGTTAAATTTAAGATATTACAGGATGCTCGAGAAAGAGGGGGACTTAAGGCACCCAATTTGAAATTATATTATGACGCAGCCGCCCTAACTTGGTTAAGTGATTGGCTTAATTTAACAAATATGGATATTCTTTTTTTGGAAGGTTGGGATTTAATATATGGTTGGCATGCATATTTAATTTTTAATAAGAAAGTTGATCGGACTTTTAAATCACATATTTTGAGGAATGCCTTACTTCGTGTTTGGAAGAAGTATTATTATAGATTAAATTATAAAATACCTATCTGGGGGATTCCCAGACATGCAATTGAGGGAACCTCTAAGGGGACAAATTTTGATAAAATTTCATATAAAGAATTGTTAATTTGTTCTGGTTTGAATTGGCATTTGAAATCCCTAGATGTATTAAGGCAGCAAAATATTCTACAGTCATGGTTTCAATATTTACAAATAATGGATAGATGGACTGTAGACAAGAAAGAGGGAATAACACTAGAAGATAGACAATTGGTTATTCAGATTAAAAACCAAGGTCCGGCTCATATAAAAAGAATATATAATGTTTTATTAGAGTTAGATTCGGAAACAGAATTGGTTAAAGATTGTATGATTAAATGGGCTCAGAATATACAGGAGCCGATCTCATTGGATTTATGGGAGATAATTTGGATAAGAAATGTTAAATTTACACAAGCTCAAAATTTGAGAGAAAATTTTTATAAAATGTTTTATAGATGGCATTTAGATCCTAAAAAATTATCTTGTATGTATTCCAACATACAGCCCAAATGTTGGAGATGTGGCAATAATGATGCGACATACTTTCATATTTGGTGGAATTGTAAAAAAGTAAAGGCTTTTTGGATTATGATTTGGTGGAACATTCAAAAGATTTTTAGAAAGAAGATAAAGTTTACTCCTCAACTATTTTTACTTGGTATTTTTGTTGACTTAAATGAAAAAGAAACTACTTTGATTGATGTTGAATTTATTAACTGCAGCAAGGTTACTAATAGGTCTATATTGGAAGAAAGATTCTTTGCCTACTTTAGAAGAATGGATATTTAAAGTATCTAGTTTTGCAGAAATGGCAAAAATTTCTGCTTATTTAAAGGATCATACACAAGAAAGATATATTACTGTATGGGGAAGGTGGATAGATTATATTCAGAAAAAATATGGAATTAAAAAGTTTTATTTATTTTATGAATGAATATCAAATATTATAGAGAATTGTTTTATAAGTTATGGAGTTAAAGGTTAATTATGATATTTTTTTTCTTTCTCTTTTTTTTTCTTTTTTTTAATTATTATAATTTTCTTTTTCTTTTTTTTTCTTAACCCTGTATTCTGCTCTGGGAAGTGAAGGGAGGGGGGGTGGGGGTGGGAGGGAGGGTAAGGGGGGGGGGTTCTCTATTTTAAAATTTTATTGTATTTTTATAAATGATTGTATGTTTTAAAAAAAATAAAAATTTTCAAAAAAAAAAAAAAAAGAAAGAAATATCAGATTGTCATTAGAAGGGTAGCCAGATGGTTGAAACATGCTGAGCACAAGTGATCAAATCTTAAGCAAGTCCAGCAACCAAGAGAAAAGACGGTTTAATCTGATTGCCAGGCTGACTTCAGATAATAGTAGCAGGTACTACACAACTATTTTACTAGCTGGTTGTAATAAATGTGCAGATGCATGAAAAAACTGTAATGAAAAGTTTTTATGCATATAGACAGCTAATTTCTTATATTTTGCAACTACTCTTATCTCTTGAAATATTAAGATGCCATTGATCAGCTTTACCTTGTGAAATGTCTGTTTTCAGAGTAAAGTCATCAGGAGTAAGTACAAAATTCAACCACCATGTAAAACCTCGTTGTTGTTTTTCTTTCCACTGCTCATCATAAAACATATTCTTTGCCGCAAAAGGCATTGGATGCCTAGGAATATCTTTTAAAATAATTAAAAATCATATTATTGTTTTTGCTGAAACACTGAAGTACTTATCACCTAAAGAGAATATATCAAAGCTCAATTTCTAACAGCAAATGAAGACTAGGAAGTGCTGGGCAAAACACTGGAAATGGACATTTCTTGAAGTACATAAACTCTTACACTGGCATTTCTACTTAGTGTGACTGCTTTGAAGGTTATCCCAGTTATTTGAATATGAATGTACATTAATAAACAACACTGCTATAACTTCCAATAAAGTGAGGCAGGTCTGAATGAACATACAAATACTGATTGCTTCTCGGTCTTTTGGCAACGATCAAGTGCAATGCATAAAAAGTTGTGGGGACAAGCTTTCAAAGGAGCAGCCCAAGCCTTTCAAATGACATGGCTGCTTTAATACTGATAAATGTTGATTTGCATATATTAAATAATTCTGTGAAGTGGCTCTTTCCATTGTTTTGTACAGTGCTACAAAATATGAGATAACAGAATAGATGAACAACTGTAATGGAACAGTTGTTTCAAGATTTCACACAAGTGTCCATTTTTCTCCATAAATTCTCAAACCTGAGGCAAATTCTGTTTAAATTCTCTTTTTTTATTATACTTAGCTTTCTTGTTCAATATGTATATGCAACCAATAATTCTACATATAGAATTCATCAGGTTCTACACTGTGTCTATACTTAAAAGAACATATATTATTGTAAACTGGAATTAGCCATCTTGGATTGAAAACGGCATATCTAGGAGTTTGCCTTTCACTCTCCCAAGTCAGCCCTCACTCTGCGTGGTCTAAATCACGACTACATGATACTTTTTTGATCTTTGCCACATCATTCATGGAGTTCAGAGGATGAGCACCCAAAAAAATCCCAGCATCAGTAACATGGAACTATTCCCCCTTAAAATAACAGGTCTTCTTAGTCTTTCAACAGCCATGAAAACCTAGCTTTTTTCAGGTCTGAGATAGTTTAAAGTTGGAACCCAGAAAGGTTTTTTATGGATATGTGGAGACGTATAAGAGGCCCAGAAACACTGGGATTTTACTATGTTGGATTTTGTTTTTATTGTTGTTTGTATAACCCAGTGTCATGTTAAATAAAAAGGATAGCCACATATATTTTTAAATAAACATTTATCAAGGGTTAGGAAAATTATAGCAAGCACAGCTTATGCAACACCATATATGGTAAAATGACTAATAGAACCTAGAGGAGCAATAGTTAAATTCCATATATTATAATTACCATCTAAGCAAGGAAATAAGGAGGCTAATTATATGTGACAATTTATTAACTCATCCATTCATACTAAAGACTATGAAACTTGTTATGAATTGTTAGATTAATGAGACAAATTTGAATTCATGCCACATATTTCCTGAAAAAGAACTATTCTTCGTATATTTGAACCTGTGAAAATAATATTATTAAATTTATTTGGCGCTATCTCAGTTTGAGGTGACTCTGAACAGCTTACAATGGGATAAAATATACAAATATCCAAACAGTTATAAATATAAAAACAGATCAAAATTACAAAAAATAAACTAAAAAAATGGGTTTGAAATGGAGATGTGGGGGTGCCCTCTCTGTTCTTGCACCAACCATCTCCAGCCAACAGCTTTTCCTTCAAGACCCCATGCCAGCTTTTCCTGAAGACTAAATTAGAGGGTGTGGTACAAAAATGAAAAGGCAAACCATATAATTCTAACTTTTGCTATTTTTACTATTTCACCCAATGTATTTTAGATAAACTTTACCAATATTATTTCTAACTATTTTTTTTTTAAAAAATCCTTTCTTTCAAAATGCAAAATGCCAGGAATTTATGTTTACCTGTTTTTAAAGGCTTCACAAAAGTCAGCTGAGACTGTGCAACAGGAACAATATTTTTTGTTCTTTTAAAATTCTTAGATTTTTGAGATGCAGAACCTGAAAACAATAAAAAACCCAATCATCCAAAATGTGAAATTGAAGCAAAAGAATAAGAATTTATATAAGTAAACTGTTCTATCACTTTGCAATCACAATATGAGAACAAAAGATTGCTTCACTCTGAGCTGCGTAAAATATTATTTTTCTAACAGAATACCGATTCAAAATTAAATTACATTACCACTTCTCGTCTTTTGCTTATCTCCATTCTGAGATTTGGAAACTGAGCATTTCAAATCACTCTTGCTTCCATTTTCATCACAGGACTTCAGAGTTCTTTTTCTTCCTAAATTTTCTGCATATTCTTCTCTTCCATTCTTAACATCCTCTAAATATTCTCCACTTTTTCTTTTACGATTATGAGAAGATGATTCCAAATAAATGAAACTAGCTTTATCTTTGATACACTTAGTTTCATTTGAAACACTTTCTATAACTGGAAGTCTTGGCAATGTGTCCAGGTTTGCAGCTCTAGGGATAATGTCCATACAATGCTCTATTGCATTAGAAAGACTTTTTTTAGATTTTAGTTTTAACATCTTTGTTTCTTTTCCCTCAGGATTGGGTTTAGTTTTGGTAACAGTGCTAGAAAGCAAAGGCCTTTTTTTGTTCTGAAGGCAGTGAGCTTGATTACTTGTTTTGGATCTGACATTTTGTTCAATCTTATCATAAGAACATGTCGTAGGATTTCTTTCATTTGTATCAATGGGAGCTTTGGTGGAAAGTTGAGGTTCGATGAAAAATGAAACTTGTATCTTTTCTTTCTGTTTTGAAAATTTTGCTGTTGATATACATGATTTCACATCTGAAGTAAAGGACACTGGTTTGCATTCTGGGTTTGGCTGAGTAACTATTTGATTCTCTCTTAAAAACTGATCAGGTGAAAGAATAGGCATTGCTGTAGCTGCATCAAGTTCTTCCGTAACTTCGTAACTATTGTTTATAAAAGAATCAGGACTTAAAATCTTCCTACGATTCAAAGATATATTCAATTGTTCTGGTGTATAGACAGAACTTGCATTTATTTCTGCTGAGTTAATAACATTATCTTGGTGTACTTTCTTTTTTTCCAAAACATTGTCATATAGAGTTGTAACAGTAGGGGTTTCTGTTATATTGTTTAATAACTTATGACATGCTGGTGCTTCTGGAACAGAATACGTAGATGATAGGGGAGTATAAATGACATGTTGGTTTTTCTGACTGATGGGATTAATAGGGGAAATAGAAAGCTTATGTTCTGAAATGACTAAGGAATTTCCATTAGGTGAAATTCTGTTTGAGCTCACTTCCAGATTCTCACAGGACTGAAGAGGGCTTCTATTTTTCTCTGTTTGTTCAGACATCTGAAAAGTTTTATTAATACTTTTAATGACTGGCACTCTTTTTCGTGATTGTACAGGAATTCTTCTTTTAATAGTATCCCACAGATTTTTCTGAAATGACAGTAAATAAATAAATAAATATTTATTTATATATAGGCAAGTATTATATTTTTGGTCATTTTCCTTATTTTCCCTATGAAATTAAAAGTTCATACTGCCTGGGACATATTTATAAGTAAATACAAAGGAACACTGATTCTCATTTTTAAAATCGGCATCAGTATTGCAGTATTTTACCTCTACTATTTGTGTATCTCTTTGGCATATTTATTTACAATACCCATTTTTCATTTTGTAAAATCCAATGTTGGGGGAAATTCAAGATACCAAGGGAGATATACTAAAAATTTCAAAGGCAGCATGGGAATATAGATATAAGTGCTATGAAGATTTTAAATAATTATAAAGGTCATAGGCCTATTACATTTCTGCATCTTTAATTACACTGATATGTGGTTTTGCACTTTCAAACATGCCAACAATTTATGCAGAAAAGCTTATTACATAGATAGATATTCTGTATGCCAAAAGACTAACTTTATTAATAAGCAGAACAAGAAAGATTTTAAAGAGCTTCCTACCTTCTTTGTTATAGGCTGCTCAGCATTTCCCAGCAAAACTGCTCGATGTTTTACAACATCATTTATAATTAAAGTTATGAGCTCTCGAACTTTGCCGCCTTCTAGTGGTGTCCATGTTATTAATATATAGATCCTCTCTCCAGGCTGCAAAAAAAAAAAAAAAAAAAAAAAAAATGAAACAGGAAGATGGCATAGTAACTGTGACAAATACATGAAGAATACGCCCAGTTAAAAATCTTGTATGAACCTAGCTTCTTTGAATGTTAAAAGTTATATTCCAAGAGTATATTTAATTGTATCATTCTCCAGGAAAGTAGGGATCACTAGTAGTAGATCAAATTTTGCTTTTTTTACAATCTCCATATTTGCTTTGAAACTTAGGAGCTTTCAATAGCAGAACTGTGGTTTCCATAGTGTAGCCCAAAATATAACGTCAAATTATAGCTGTTTAAAATATAACTCTTTAAAATGTATAAAATCATGCTTATATATTTTGTGAGTATGGCATAATATTTATCTATAGGCAGCAACAAAATATCACAATAGATATTTTATTTTTGAAATTTATATGCCACTCAAATCCAAAAATAAAAAACCTTCTGAAACAAGATTCTGACAACTTTGTCACATTTAATATTTTCATAATATCATGTACCCATATAAATTCAGACCAAGACTGTGCTCTATAAACAATATTTGTAACATTACAGTTCACAAAAAACCCTACTTAAAAAACACTTAACTCTTAACATATACAAGCCTCCAAAGTTCAAATAACCTACCAGCCAATATATGCATTAGTGAAGAGGGTGATAGCAGTTAAAAAAGCCCATGATCTGTTGCCCCCACCCCACCTTTTAATAGCTTTCTTCTCTGGAATGTGTCCTTAAAGCCAATTGACTCCTGATAGGCAAAGCAAATTGGACAAAATAAAAAGAAACCTCCTTTGTAGCCAGCTTCTGCTGAATTCTAGTCACACTTTAGGTACAAAGACAACTTGAAGCAATTACTCTCATTCAGCCTAGGAAAAAGGCAATGGTAAACTTCCAAAATCTTGCCAAGAAAACTATATGCATTGTAGTCCAAATAGTGGCCAGGAGTCAATATTAATTTGAAGGCACCCCCTCCACCAAATTGAATAGTACGTATGAATTGACACTACATAAATAGACATTATATATATTATCATGTTCATGTTAGCCTTTAGTTTGTGGAAAGTATTTTATTTTAATAATCAATAATAATCACAGAATATTCTTTACACCAAATTTCTCTCACTGTCCCAGCTGTCTCTTAGTCATTAACACAATCCATGATTCACTGAGATGGAAAACTATGGGAAATACATTGTAGCAATAGATTGGTAAATTGTACTTCTGCTGTCAATTGACAATAGCAAAACCAAGCACCTGGGCAAGAGTAATTCACCAAAGAACCTAGTCACATTTCCCCATACCCACAAATAGGCTGTCCAGACACAGCAAAAGGCACGCCACCAGGGTGGACAATTAAGACTGACATTTTGATAGAGTCAAGCACTGCAACCAGCCAACGCATAGACACCCTCGCCCCCTACCAAGGACCAATTCCCCTATAAAACAGTGGTTCTCAACCTTTTTAATGCCGTGACCCCCAACCGGTTGTAAGTCGAGGACTACCCAACCGGTTGTAAGTCAAGGACTATCTAACCGGTTGTAAGTCGAGGACTACTCAACTGGTCATAAGTCGAGGACTACCTAACTGGTCGTAAGTCAAGGACTTTCCCTGCCTGGGAGCGCTGCGCATGCGTGGTGCCACCCCCTGCGCTGGCCGAGGCATAACTGGCAAGTGGCAGAGATGGCGCAGGCCAACCACCGGCTGGGCCACCAGCTGGCCCAGCTCAAGGGAGGTAAGGCACCCGCCGGGCCCCACGCGCGCCAGCAACCCTCTCTGCGCCTGCCGGCCTCCCACCCCTCTTTTACTTACATTTTTAGTAGTTGCTCAGCAAGGAGGGGTGGAAACTTCCAGACAGCTTGCCTTTGCTGCAAACAACTTGCAGCACCATTTGCAGAATGGGACTTTTGGTGGGCTCAGCAGGGCAGAGACAGCCTGGACAATTCCTATTGGCTTTTGAAAGCCAATAGAATTAGACTCTATTCAAGAGAGTCTATTCTATTGGCTTTCAAAAGCCAATAGAATAAAAAGAGTAGCACAGCTAAGGAAAGGGAAAAAAATGGCGGACTGCACTGTTTGGCGACCCCCGTGAAATGGTCGTTTGATCCCAAATGGGGTCACGACCCACAGGTTGAGAACCGCTGCTATAAAACAAAGAACCCATTTTCTCTGGCGCCTACACTCAAGAGCAAGCCTCTTAGCTTTGGGGAATAAATGGATCACCTCCTTTCCACCAGCAGCTTACCTTGCGTCTTATTTTTATCCCGGCTTGGAAAAGGAAGCTGGAAAATTCTTTTAGCAACTCCTAATATAAAAAGTGTTCATTACGTTTATATTCTACCAAAAATAATCCTAGTAGATAGAAAGAGCCTCGTTTGGGGAGGCTATATATTTATTAACCATTAACATATCCCAAGGTTCCCACTTGCCTAGAAACAGTAACAAGAAATTAACTTACAACATTCTTTAAAAATAAGTAGGATTTTTGGGACAGCATCAGCAGACGTTATCCATAAATTGAAGATTATTTCATAACGTCCCTGATCAATTGAAATTCAGGGAGTAAAGCCTATAAATACCGGCATAGTGTATTGCTACATTTACCATTGCCATTTAAACGTTTCTTCATACCGGCCAATCTTTTAGACTACCGCTGCCACATGAACATTAACATCCCTCCGCATCCGGCTTAGACCGCAGCGCTAGCATTTGATGTTGCCGGCCACCTTAGAGCCGCCCCTCCCCTGCCAAAGCACCTGAAGGAGGAAACTGTCCTGCTCCACCGTGAAGCCTTTGGAGGCGGGCGGCGGGCGGTAGACGGCCCCGTGGACAGGCTCCGCGTTGGGGTTCTCCACGGCCAGACGGCGAACGCACGAAGTACCGACGCGGACCGAGCCGAAACTGAGGAAGGGCGGCCGGGAGAAGTGGCTGAGTGACAACACGGCGTCGTTTCCATCTTCGCAGCCGGGTGAGGCAGCCCAGCGACTGCTCCGCTCCGGAGAGCACGGTTCCTGAAGCCCGGCTGGTCCAATGCCCTGCTTTCTTTCCGCCATAGCGGCCTACGGGAAAACGATCTTCATCTACCTCTCCTCTTGACACCAGCAACACCTTCGCCCATCGGCGAGCAATACAAAAATTCCTTCCAAAAATGAGACTCGTAACCGCCGCTCGAGAATTCAAAACTCGCAGCCTCCGCCAATCAAAGGGGGTTTACAGAACACAACCAGTTCGCGCATAAGATTTTTTCCTCCAATCGTCAAGCGGCTCTGAACAAAGATTCGACCAATCGCTTGAGCCGCTTGTTTTTTTTTGTGTGTTGTTTTTTTTTTAACCATGGTTTCAAGGCTCTCTCCCCGATCAATGCCATGAACTCTTCAGGTTGTGCACCAATAACAAAGCGAGCGCTCAATTTAAAACCGCCTCTTGAGAAAATGAGTTGTCTTTCGGTTGTTTATTCCGCTCAAGTCCGCCTTCTACTCAGCCAGGGATCCGGTTCGGTGCTCCGCTGCAGCATAAACACGAAATTAAGTTCGGAAAGGTTTTTCTCTAGTTTGTAAATTGCCAGCGAAGAGCATCTAGAAAAGATCTTTTCTTGAAAGCCTCCCAAAATTTTCCTGATAATTTGGAATCAGTGCTCAGATCTGTTTGGCCCCTCCCTTTTTTAAACTGTTGGTTCTCTTTGAAAAGTTTATCAAAAGAAGTTTATTTCTGGGACTATATAATAGAAACCATTACTTATCTTGTCAAAATAACCATAAGGCCAATTTACTGTAATTTAACAGAAAAGAAACCAGTAACTCGTTAGCATAAATCGGGGTCCCCGGACCGCGCAAAGGGCGGGCGAGCATGTTCGGGCGCGCAGCTCCATTTGCGTAAATGGAGCTGCGCACGCTCGCCCGCTCTCTGCGTGAAAATATCCACCCGCCCACCCCCACTGCTCTCGCCGTTCCGCAAAGTCGGAAAGATTGGACACTGCTGTACTGTAGTAGTACACAGTTCTGGGGTGGCTCGCAGTTTTGCAATGAACATCCCGCAAATGCCCATTGTGAGCCGGAGGTAAAGCGAAACCTCCCCCCGCCTAGTCGGCACCCCTCGCTTTTCCTCTTGCTCCGCCTCCTTTTTGCCACCCACGTGCATAGAGCCGGAACGACAAACCTTGCCCAGCTTCCTGTCAAACTAGGTCTGAGTGACGTTAGCTTTATTCCCCCCCCCCGCTTGGAACCCGGAAGTGATGGCGAAACCTGGGGGGGACTAACGGGGCGCGACTGAGGGGGCTTATATGAGGGGGGGGATGTATTTTTCTTTTCTTTCTTTTTTTTTTTTTTGGCAGTTGTCTTTCGGAATGGGGAGGCCGGCCTGGTGACGGCGACGGCAAATGGAGAAGAGGCGTGTTTTCCGAGAGCGCGCGCCTAGGACCGTTATTTGCCCCTTTGGTCGGATAGGGGAGGAAGGTGGGTAAGTGGCTCCTCCCTCCTTGGAGGCTGGAGAGGGGGGGTTCAGGGGGTTTCCGATGGGCGCAGTTGTACTTTCGCCATCCCGGTCGGGGTGAAGAGGGGCGCGACAGTTCGACCTGCCTGAGGCTTCGGCTTTCGTTTGCTTGCCGCTTCTGATCTTGTTTAGACCTAGTGGGATCATCCCTGAAAGGCCAGATCATTGTTAAAGGGGGGCGGGGAAGAAGGCACTGTCACTACCTCGTTAAGAAAGGAAAAGTACCTGGCCGTCAATAGCAATTTCTTCTGCCGCCCACCCTGAGGCAGAGGCCGGGGAAGCAGCGATGGAGAAGGTTCCCCCTTGTAGAAATACCCTGAAGCCCGTTCCCCCCACTTCCATCTCAGTCCTGTTTGCATCGGTATGCAGGCTAACAAAATGCGGTAGGCTCCTGCCGCCGCCACCTTGCTCAAACTCTTACTAGCACAATAGAAGGAAGGATTAGGCCCAGAAGGGATGAAACTTAAACAGTCCTGCTTGCCTTTTTTTCTGTCGAGGGTGCTTCATAGAGGACTGTAATAAAAGTTGTGTCCTCTCTGATATGCTTCTTGCTCTAATGTGACAATTGGGCCGGTGGTTATGTCCATCACCCACTGAAAGGAGCAGCTACTTGCAGATAATGCTGATTTTGCTTGGTTTAGGCCACTTAACCCATTTCTCTTGCTCATTTAAGCATGGGAGGGAAAGTAGCACCGGTAATATCTAGGCTGAGGATGCTGGTCGACATGTTCCAATTCCTTTATGTGGCTAAGGTCATGGCTCCTGAATCATGCAAACAGACAAAATGTGTTAGCAGATAAAACACGGAAGAAGGGGAAAAAAAGCAGTTCTGCGAGGGGCATTCATTGCCTGCTAATAATAACAGTTGAGCAGTCTTGGTAACAGGTATCTGGGTGCTATTCTCCCAGATCAATAGGATTTAAGCAAAAGAGGGAGGTGGCTAATATACTTGTCTTTTTGATTGGATAAGATTTAAATCACAGAAGCAACGAAAGCAACCACATTCTCCCAACTATTTACCTGTTTTCACCAGCTGTATAGCATTTAGACTTGGTTGTAGAAAGAGCAGATTTATCATTTCACTTGCTATCTTGAGTTTTCTGTTGACAGCATCCAGTGAACCAGATCTTTCCTGTTGTACCACACAGAGAAACAACCTGAATGGAGGAGATAACAATTGCAGCTTGGAAAAAGAAACAGCTGTTTTGACACACAGAGCCTTCCTTATAAGGAAAGGCTAATCAAATGTTGGTTCACGTGACATACTAAATTATAACTTAGTTTCTTTGGTCCTGGCTTCTAGGTTGTGCAAATGCAGCCCTTGTTTGTAAATCCTAGTTATTACTTTGATATTATTATTATTATTATTATATGCTATCAAATCATTGCACTCTTAACAAACATACAGATTTTATCCATGATCTGTTCCTAACAAGTGTTTTCCAAGTGTGCACTCATTGCCATTTCAACTGAGTTCATCCATGTTGCTGTTGGTTATCTTCTTTTTCCTTCCATCTTTCCGAGCATTAGAGTCTTCTCCAGAGAGCTAGATCTTCATGTAATGTATACAAAATAGAATAATTTGACTCTAGTCATTTGTGCCTCAAGGGAGAAGTCTGGGTTGATTTGTTTGATGAGCCATGTGTAAATCCACTAATTGTTATTTAATATACTGTATTAAGCCATAGTTTAGTAAGATATGTGATACTATTCACACTTACTGCTTATTAGCTCTCTTACTTTCTATCTTGGTAGGAAATCCATGCATTTTATAGGCTTGCATATGTTAATTTTTAAGCACAAGAAAAAGGATTAGAGTTAAGTCATATACTAATTTGTAACTGTCTTTAACTTTATAACTACTCAAAGAGATCAGTGAGTGACTGCATTAGAGATGAGTGCTTTTTAAGTGATCATTTATACTATAGTTGATAAATAAAAATATTTTTGTGCATTCAAGCCCTGGTCATTTCATGCATGGACTATTGCAATGCTCTCCACCTGGGGCTACCCTTGAAGAATATTTGGAAGCTACAATTAGTGCAGAATGCAGTACTACGGGCAGTTCTTGGGGCCCCTAAGGTGGCTCATGTTACATTGCTGTTCCAGTGTAACATTGGCTGCCGGTTTGCTTCCAGGTACAACTTAACATGTTAGTTATCATCTTTAAAGCTCTTAATGGCTAGGCCCAAGTTATCTAAAGAACCATCTTACCCAATGGGATTGGCTTGCCCCACCCATACCAATAGAGCAGGCAGGCTGTGGACCCCACTAGTCAAGGATTTTCAGCTGATGAGGTGTAGTAGAAGAGCCTTTCTGCTGTGGCTCCTGCCCTTTAGAACATCATACACTCCAAGTGTGATCTGCACTCATCCTTTTGATCTTCCATAAGAGCCTGAAAAACTGGTTCTGTCAGTTGACCTGGTGCCTAGTTATTTTTCCTATTGCTTCTGCTGACAAGTAAAGGAATAAGTACTATTCACAATTTGATAATCTGTGTGTGACTTGTAGAATATTTTGGTATCAATTCAAAATGAAATTTTCCTTTCTAGAAAAAGAGGGTGGATGCGAATTCTTAGGACCTCATCAAATGTGGAAATAAATTAACTGGTGTTTAAAAAAAACCCTGAATTAATCTAGTTTTTTCATTGGTTTTAAAGAAAATTATTTGATCCATTTGCAGGTTATAACTTCAAGTATCACTGAAGCAACTATTTGTTTGGAAAAGTTTGGCTTATTTATAACAGTTCTGATTTTAACGTGGCACAATTGCAATGAAGAAGAGAAGAAGACTTAATGTAAATGTAGATCACAAAATACATCTTGGTCACCGAAGGGAACAAACTGATAAGATTCCTGTAACAGATTCTGAACAGGAAGCTCATGTTGATTCTGCAGAAATAGTTACAGCAGGCCAATTCATATATTCCAAAGAACTTTCTCTGCCGCCTGATCAAAGAAAGCTTTTAACTTCTTTGCAATATAATAAAAATCTACTTAAATATTTAAATGATGATCGACAGAAGCAGCCGTCTTTTTGTGATCTTCTTATAATTGTTGATGGAAAAGAATTTAGCTCCCATAAAGTAGTAGTTGCTGTTGGGAGCAGTTACTTTCATGCTTATTTGAGCAAAAATCCAAATACAAATGTTATTACCTTGGATCATGTAACACATTCAGTTTTCCGTCATCTGCTTGAGTTTCTTTACACATCACAGTTTTTTTTAAATAAAAATGAAATACCTTTAGTTTTAGAAGCAGCAAAATTTTTAGATATTATTGATGCAGTTAAATTGCTAAATAGCGAAAATGTTTCCATTTCACCATCTGAAGAGAAAACAAAAAAACCATCTCGGGTAGAAAAGACAACTGAACAAACTCCTAAAATAGCCAACAGTCACCAGTGCACCTTGTGCAATCGTAATTTTTGTTATAAGAAATCATTAGAAAATCATTTGTCCAAAGCACACAAATCTGCTACGTGGGAAAAAGAACATGGGCTAAAAATGGTTGAGAAGTCAGTGATTTCTACCAGACGATCAGTGCGAAATCGTAAATGCCCAGCCAAGTTTGATCAGAGTGACAATGAAAGTGGCAATGCATCAGATACCAATTTAGATACAATTGCTCCTAGTAAAGAGAGCAATGAATCTGAGGACAGTGGAAGTGAATACAATACTGAGGAGCAGGAAGAGGACTCTTTGGGAGATGATACAGAGTCTGAACAGCACAGTGAAAAAGAATGTGGTGGAGAGGTCCATGAATCAGATAGTCCAGCTGGAAATATTTCTGAAGATAATCATTCCACATGTATTCCATCTATTCTTCAGAACAGCAGCAAAAAATGTTTGCAGTGTCCTAAGTGTGATAAAATATTTGATCGACCAGGTAAATCAGAATATGTTTTGTCTTTTACCTTTGCAGGGTGGCTGTGATGGGTTTAAAAGCAATCAAAAAGTCATTTTCAATCTTAGGTTAATATCTAAGGCCAGACTCAATGTTATAGAATTGTGATTATTCTTTAGATCTTAAGTGTATCCATAGTGCACTTTACAGTACATGCAAAACTTTAGGCATCCCTTGTAAAAATTAATCCTTCACTGAATCCTTAAATTAATAGAAGCTGACACAATCTCTCTGTTTGTACCATTCAAGGCAGCTCCTTCCTATTTTACCCACAGCAACAATGCTGCAGTTCATTGAGCTGAGGAAGACCCAGCAAGCTCTCTATCAGTTGAGATTGCTATTTGGAAGACGTTAGATTTTTTTTATGGCTTTTCCTGTTTTGTAAGAGTGATTTTTTCAAATGCTCAAGAAAGCTGATTAGAAAAACTCCTAGCTGCTGAAATAAGATAAAACAGTCATAGCCTGAGAAGCTA